TGCCATTTATGTGATAATAATAATACATTTCATTTATAAGCGCCTTTCAAAACACTCAAGGACACTTTACAATCAAAACAAGAACAATAAAACCACAGATAAAATGATAAATAATAAAAGGAGAGATGAATTTAAACTGAATATGTGATTTTAAATAGCGATTTTCAATAATACTGGGGTTTCAGTTTGTGGTCCCAAGTAGTTTCACGCATGCAACATCGTATGTTGTTGGTATGTTGTATTTAATGAAGGCACAGTTGTATTTGGGGATGTGGTCTTTTGAGATCACACTACATTGATCTCAACTCAATTTGATAAACGTGTGAATAAAATCCCTTTTCCCAACATAGGACGAAGGCCAAATGATCGAAAACAACGGAGGAATCGCAACAACAACCGCAAAGACAACAAGGGGGTCAGAAGGGAGAAGAAACGAGAGCGCGAGAGGGCTCGAGACACGGGGGACCGCCAAGACAGCAGGAACAAAACGGAGCACAGGCATCGGCGAGGTCATGACCTGCAGCCTTTCTCCCCCAAGGAGGGCCTTGTACAGTAGCTCTGTGGACACGTTCAAATAAGTCTAACACCTCCCAAAACCTTCCTCCTCCTCTTACGTCTCACCCACTCTTTGCCCATCTCTACTCCTGTCTGCGGGGGTGTCGCTGCTACCTGTACGATTTGAATAAACTGTTAATGCGCAAGCAGGATTGGGGCATATGGGGCCTAAAGGTTGAAAGTGTTTTTATTTTTCTGTGTTGCGACTCTTCCTTTACATCCACCACTGACTCATGTCTCATTTGAAAAATGAAAGAGCCGCTGCCGAGACTGCTGCTGGTACTAAAGAACAAAGAAAATGTCAGCGTGTAAAAGCAGTGAGCTTGTTGATATGGTTATTTAATGGGACTCTGGTACAACAATGTGCTCTTGGATTTTGAATGTAGATTTTGCAACATTATGTAGAACATTTTGTTTATTTTTCATGACTTTTAGATCCATCTACTTAATTTTATTTGGTGAATATTTTTTAAAGACAAAGACATAAAAGAGAGTTTGTTCTTGCCATCTTGTGACTGTTTCCTAATCTCCATAGAAATTGATGTACTGTAGTGGAACCTTCATTGCCAAGCCAAAGAAAGCCAAGCACCTGGACAAAGTTCACTTTGAACCTTTTCACACACATTTTGTCATGGAAACACAACAAGTTCTATGCGTGTGAGAAAATAAATCAAATTCACCACCAGGTGTTTCTGTTTGTTTAAAACGGACTTGTGCTGCTCAACAAACATCCAAAGCCACTTGTATGTTAAATAAAACTATAATGGGTTTCATAGCCTCATCTCTTCTATGTTCTTTTGGAGTCACAAGTGTATGATCAAAGTCGACATGCAATAATTTGTGTACCAAACTACCAGTAATTTATAAAATGTTTACACAATGCGAGGCCCGAAATGGTCACACCCTCCTTTGTGGAGTTCCCGTCTTCTCCTTGTGCTTGTGTGGGGTTTCCCCAGTTGCTCAAGCTTACTTTCAGAACCTCCAAACTTTTTTTTTTTTTTCTGATGGCTTAAGTGCATGGCAAAACATTGTTGTCCTTCTTAACTCTTCAAACCTTTGTAAAAATGTTTTTTTTTGGATCACACAATTACATTAGCTCACCCCCTCTCCCTCTTGCATTTTCACCCCCCAAGTCTAATTCTCACTCTTCCTGCTTCCTCCATTTTACTCCACACGGACAGCATACCTGTCTGTGGCTTCGTGCTCAGGCTGTTGCAAAGTCAACTAATTATCTCAAACAGTTTTCTCCTCTGACAGTGTTTCCAGGCAGTTGGGAGAATAATGAAAATAATTGCCATGACTGTGCATAGTTTTTCAAAAAGTGTATTGATCATTTGGAAATTCAGTGTAAAGCAGTGAGTTGTGGCTTACAAAATAACAAACTCAGTACAAAGCAGATTTTGTGCTTTTAGTTTTTGCAAATTCAGTTAGTGGTTTTGCGAGAGATATTAGTTTTAGAAATTGTGCGACAAGAATCACTGTAGGAGTTTAAGCATTCAGAGAAAAAATTAAGGGGACAGCATTATTAATTTCAATAATGTGGAAAATATTTCAAAAATATTAAATACGGCGCGCCTCCCCAACAGGAGGCGGCCATGTTTCACCGCCATGTTTCTGCAACGGATACCCAATGGAGACTAAACTTGCGCTTACTCCGTCACTTGAACTTGAGGGTCTTGCAGAAGCTGTTTGGGATGCCACTTTGCTTGCATCTCAGCTAAAAAAATTAGTGGTAAGTTTGTCAAGTGTTGTCTCTCTGAAGGACCGTAGTGCGCGTTCTTCAATTTGCACATGGTCGAGCTTAGTTCATTGCATTCTACCACTTTACCACGAGATGGCAATAATTTCTACACACTGTACCTTGTAGTGAAGAATGGAAACAGTGGGATGAGTGCCGGTAATTATAAGTGAAGCTAGTGGTAGTAGCAGGGGCGTCACTAGGTTTCAAGAACAAGGGGGGCTTAGCCCCAAGGGGAACACAGCCCCTCTAGGGGGGTCCGGGGGCATGCCCCCCCAGGAGAATTTTTTTGTACATTCTGTTAAAAATCCATCAATTCCGTGCACTTTGAGAGCAAAATGAAGAGGCTATGAAGAACTACACACATCACATTCGTATCCTCTTTACTATGATGGGGCTTCCTCCCCTGGACTTTAACTGGACTAGATAATAGAAATTATAAAGAGTTCAAAAGATCAATCTTGGTTGTTCAAGGGAATTAGAAGGATGCCCGATAACATAACCTATATGACAGTAGGCCTATAGTCCTCTCTACCAAAATGTATTAATATATGCTTAGCCCCCAGAAGACTATGTATTTTGAGATGCCTGCCGTGATATGCAATTTAAGTTAGTACAATGAGATGCAAAAGCTTCATCACTTTGGAAAAACACAGGTTTGCTGCTCAATACTTACTGTAAGCTCCGATTGCATTTTGGGAACAGCCTTGCAAGATATAGGCCAAAATCTCAATAGGTGTTGCCTCAAAGAGTTGGTGTAATGATTATTTATGTATTTAATAATAAAATGTTGCTTAATTTTTATTAAGCACCACCTTAATTTATCCAAAAGTGAACACTTGTTACAGTGCAGTTTCTGCTGTTACTGGAGATATTTTAGCGGACTATAGTCACTAGTTTTACCAGCATGGATGCATTGAATACTTAATTTACCTTTCTAAAAAACTGTCGAATATCCATGCTGTCGACTCAACCTGACTTTCGGCAATGAACTGTCAGTTGTTGTGTTAGCATTTGATGTGGCGATGGTGACAGACACGTCAAATGCTTACGCAACACCTGTTGCGTTCAGGAAACCTGGGAGATTTAACATTACAATAATGGCAGGTTATCGAAATATAATTTAAAATGGCCGCATTACATTGAATTTGATGCAATATATTAGCAAAAGTACAGGAAAAATAAATAATATTTTTTTAAAATAATGCAATGAAATTATTTAGGGGGGCTAAAGACATTTTTAGGGAGGCTGAAGCCTCCCTAAAATAGGCCTAATGACGCCCATGGGTATTAGTAATTAGTAATTAAAAGTCTATCCAGCTTTGTGCCCTAAGATTGATGGACCAGAGTGGTTGGGACCGGCACCCACTCACTCATGACGTGAGTAAGAGTCAGATATTTAGGGTTGTTTTATGAAGGTAATATAGGATATTAAGATAAGATAAGATATCCTTTATTTGTCCCACACTGGGGAAATTTACAGCCTTCAGCAGCAAGATTGAGGGTAGAAAGAAGAGAAAAGAAAACACAGTTCAATTAAGTGCAATATAAATACAAATATGGAT